CGACGCTGTAGAGGGACCACAATATTCCGGTCCTTCGGTACGACAGTCCACTCCGAGCCTAGAACTTCCTTAGTGTTGGCAATGGCGCCCAGCAGCTTAGGCTGATAAAGAGCCTTGGCAATAGTTAGTGAGCAGCCGGCGTAAACAGCAGACTTTAGTTGTAATGAGTCTCCAAAAAGATCTGCAGGACACACCTGCGTATATGAGCACACACACGTGCGAACACACGTGCGAACACACGTGCGAACACACGTGCGAACACACGTGTGGATATATGTGTGTATAGTTACTCATGGTGGGAGGATTGGCGCAATTGCGTTTGACGAACGTGTTGAAGTCGAACCAGAGTTGATTGTGCTTTTCGAGTGTGCAATGGAGTCCGGTAAGGTCATTGACTTTCCGCAGTTCTCTCCACCGGATGGTCCATGGGTTGATGACTCCCCGACCGTTGGCGAGTGTGACGGGTATTTCTACAACGTCCTCGACGCACACGGGGGCTGTGTTGGGTGTGGCGCAAACACTGACATCTTCACCATGGAAAGAGGGTGCGTCTTTTCGGACCCAAAGTTCCCGCGGTTGGCCCTTTTTAAGCACGTGCATCCGGAAGTCATTTACTGACTTGCCGTTCGGGACCTTGCTCCCCGAGGTGTTGGATGCCGGGGAGCCGTGATCGTCCTTACGGTCCTTGTCCTTACGGTCCTTGTCCTTACGGTCCTTGTCCTTACGGTCCTTGTCCTTCCGTCCTTGTCCTTGGGGTCGTGGTAGTATTCGCTGATATACCGGAGTTCGACGACGTTGCTGTTGCTGAATAGCCCGCCTAGGAGCGAGGGCAGGACTTTGGCATAGATCATTAAGTCGACACGTTTGCTGCCTGCATCTGACGTGTGTAGTTTTTGCACACTTAATGTCGCATTGGTAAACAACAAATGCCGCCGATATGTCCGCACGAATCCAGATAGAATCCGCTTGCTATACTGCAGCATTACAGCATCGTGCAAACACACAAACCAAGTACAACATATCTCCATCAATACAGGCAATTCGTCTAGTACCAATGGTAGAAACCGCATTATTACAGTCGGGTAAAACATTACAGGTAACTTGTTCTTATTAAACTCGGAATATGAAACCGTCACTGAACCCAACTTGTCCTTCGAACTACTCTCCATCAATCCTCGTGGAATCTTATAGCTAACAAACACTAAGTCAATCAACTACCGTTGGCTGGCAACAACTACTGTTGGATGGCAACAACTACTATTGGATGGCAACAACTACCGTTCAGGTGAAGAATCCTACCTTCGAGTCTGCACAGAACTTCGAGCCACAATCTGATCCCTCAACCTAGATACTAGAGGAATATCAACATCCTCCTTACTCGCCCGATTTCCCATCAGATAATAATGGGTTATGAATAATGACGAACCACCACGTACGCAGCACCATCCCTAGTCCCACCATCATTTCAACCTAGTATACCTTCTCCCTAGCCATCATACGAAACCCGTTGTTGGTTACCGCCCTTAGTCCATCTAATTGACCGCCCTTAGTCCATCTAATTGACCGCCCTTAGTCCATCTAATTGACCGCCCTTCGTCCATCTAATTGACCGCCCTTAGTCCATCTAATTGACCGCCCTTAGTCCATCTAA